CTAAGCTACACTTCAGTTTAGGCGTCGGCCAGTACATACAGAAACCTTTAAAGACATCATTGGGTCCTTCTCTGTAGGATGTCTACCTTGAGATGGCTTCTCTACTAGAAAGAAAAAAAGAAAGAAAGAAAGAAGGGAAGAAAGAAAGCTAATTAGTCACATGTAGGCGTCCCTGCCTTCTGAAAACCTGTGCAGTGTAAGAGACCGACAGGGTCATTTTGGGCACCGGCAGGGCCCTGCTGCCTAACCCACAGGGATCCTGCCAGTTCACCCATTAACACAGCCTCCTGTGCGATGCGCGCTCTTCTCACGGTGAGTTAACGCTGGATTAGATTCGGAGATTTCAAGGAAATTCCAAGTGGAACGAATCACGTTTCCTTTCTGTTGGCTGTAGACTCCGCTAGGGAAAGGCGCCAGGCTTTGGCCGACTGCACTCGGGTGCCTAGCTCAGGTCTCTGCGGGCTGCAGATCTCAGAGTAACTCCGTGGCTAGCAGCCGGCTGCAAGCTTGTTTAACCTCAACCAGCCGGGATCCCGCTACTCTAGCCATAGGACCCCTATTTAACAAAGGCAGTAGAGACCCGGCTAGAAAGAAAGCAAGGCGAAGCCATAATCTTCGTGTCTTCCACCAAGGACCGAGTGGCCTGGTAGCAGGAGAAGGTTTGTTAGGCAGCCGAAGCAAAGCGGGCTTCGAGCAGGTCAGCTTCTCTTTGTGTCAATATCCCAGTCGGAGGTAAACCTCCCGAGCGAGTGGTGATTCGTGTAGAGAAGCTGCTTGCTCTGGTCCCAGCCCCAACGATTCCTCCCTGTTTGGAGACTGGGTTTAAGCGGTTTCCAGTCCACCATGGCTCCAGCGTCTCCCGCAGCATTTTCCTGAGCAGACTGGCTCTAGAGCCTCTCTGCTGTTACTCAGAGCGAACCTGAAAACAAATGAGTTGGGGGCAACCCTCTGAGATGTGGGCAAGAAGCAACTGGGAGGCAAGATGGGTAGGGCTGGCTCCCGTGCTTCTGGCGGAAATCCAAAGGCCTGCACTGCCTCTCTCTGTCCAGAGTTCTGCTGCCCAGAGGTCATGCCCAAGCCCTTGGGGAGACAGCATCAGACTTGGTGGTCTTGCGGTGTGCATCCGTGTGGAGAGACAGCTCCTTCCAGGTGCAGGTTAACCAACTGCTAATGTCTCAGCCTTCCTGCCGGGCCTTCAATCTGCCCCCTCCTCGGGAAATGCTCCCTCCTCCCATTCTCAATCTCCCTGGCAGCACAGTGGGGGCTGGGCAAGCCTAGCTTCCAAAGCTAGTGGAAGCCCTTGGCGTCTTTGGAAAGACCTTAGCTCTTATGCCTAAAGCTGTTTGCTTGCACAATGTAATCTGTCTCCGGGTCCTAATTTGCTGGTGATGGGGGCAGAGAAAATAGGTTCTGCAAGGTGACAGGTGTACTAGGATCCTTCGTTTCATTTTTTTTTTCCTGGCCCTGGTCAGTTTTTCCTTGTTACCTCGCACATCTCTCACAACCAGTCCTGCACAGGACAGCTTCTGTTGAGAAGGATAGACACAGCTGCTTATTTGGCTTCTGAGCTCAGAGGTACCTACCCCACACTCAATTCCAGTTCCACCAAGCACACTGGCACAGCGACCCTCCCCTAGATGTTTCCTTCCCCCCAGCATTTTACCAGTTAGTTATAAAGTACTTTTGTGGCCAGTGTCACACCCAAGTGTGACCCAAACCTTCAATTACCTCTGTTTTATAGAATATGATACTGTGAGCAGAGAGATAAAAGGACTGACTAAATTACAGCTGGTTCTTGGGATAGAGGCATACCATTAGGCTTTGAGGAATTCATGGAAAGGGAGGAAAGAGAAGGACCTAATCCTAGAGAAGGCAATGGGCTGTTAGCATATCCACACAGAGGAGGCTCTCCCTCTGTGTAGACCAACCGTGTCTGTTTTCACAGCATGACTGTTACATGTGTCAGCACCTGGCTGTCCACTCTCTGGGATTCTGTGTGTCCCTTCCCCCTTCTGCTTTGGTGCATTTAGAAAGAATTTCTATGATCCAGGGTCTTGTAGTTCAGTCTTTAGCTGAGCAGTGACATCTCTTTCCTAATAATCTGTGCCTAGTCATAGTTCTTGGGATTTGGGCAGTGCCCTTTGTGGGCCATATGTCCTTAACAAGGTCTGAAGAGCATCTACAGAAGTCAGCTCCTTCCAGGTCAGAGATACAAAGGTCCTAGGGGCATCCACAGTTCCACTGGTCTTCTATCCTCCTTCAAACCCTGTTCCCCTAGGTGGAAACCGATGATCTTTACTTTTGTTGCATGTGTGTTTGTTTCTCAGTTTCTACCTAATTTGTTTCCATCATTTCTGTGCCAGTCTCTGAAAATTCTGCTCCCCTTAGGAATGATAGCTGAGTTCATGTCTTAGCCCAGTGCCTTCATGGTAGATGATCCCTCACCTAGCTGAAATACACAGAAGTTGGGGTTTGGGTCTTTGAGGAGATGCAAAGCTGGATCAAGGAGAGAAAGAGAGAGAGAGAGAGAGAGAGAGAGAGAGAGGCAGAGGCAGAGAGAGACAGAGAGCAGAAACCACCCACTGAAATCCTATCTTCCAGAAGTCCCCTCCCATTTGTTGGTCTATTTTGATTTTTCCATTCCTTCCCGACTCCCTCTGTGTCCCTAAACTCCGTGTTCTATTCAGCCTTCCTTTCTTTGCTGTCTGTCTCAGCCCCTACTCTCTATACCCTTTGCACATACCTCTCTTCTCTTGGTCCCACTGGCTCTCTCCCTTAGATGTAAGCTTCCCTTCTTACCAGTCTTACATTAGCACCTTTCCTGAGGCCTCAGTGGTAAAGTGCTCTGTTGGGTATATTTGTAAGTGAGGCAAGAGGACCCAGAGGATTTGGGAGCCTGTCCAGGAAGTTAAGAAAAGTAAGAGTCACCTAGGCCAAGTTCTGTGACAGATGTGGACACTTGCCTTAGATTCTGCAAATCTGTTAGCCTTGTGGATACAGGGAGGTAGTCTGGGGGATCTGCTGTGGTTTGGAGAGACCCGATTCTAGGAGATTCTTCTCAGTGTTTGCTGTGACACAAACCCACAAATCCCCTACAGAACCGCTCTTGGCATTGAAGTTCTCGGAAGGTTGCCACTGTGTTTAGGGCAGAAGTTTCAATCGTCAGGGTACAACAAACAACAATTGCAGATTGGCTACAATGCCTGGACCTCTAGATCATATCAGAAGTTTGCTGAGTCTTTCAGCTGTCTTTTCTCGACATCCATCCTCCCAGTGAGCACACCACAATTTTGGGTGTACTTTGTTTTACTTACATCCAGCCTGTTCTAAAAAAAAAAAAAAAAAAAAAAAAAGATTAACCTCCCTCCCCCTTAGATCTCTTTGTCCCAGATCAAAGCTGTTGATCAGGGTTGCTGTAATCTTTCTGTTATAGGTAAGCTATTTAACAACGTCTCTAGCTGTAAAATTATGATTAGGACAAATTTCTCTCTTTCTGTTTGTTTTTTTCCTTCTCCTGTGTGAGTTTTGATGTTGTAGAACCATCAAAATCCATTAAAGGCACATTTAAAAAATCAGAGAAAGAGTCAGCATAGTTTGGGACTAAGTAATGTTATTTCCTAACAAAATTGTTGTTTTCTTGGGCATACACCCGAACCTGGAAATTTCGGGAAATAATTCATGATTTTCTTTTTAAAAAGACCCTTTTAAGGAAATAGGTTTCGTTCCTCAATTTCAGACACTGTTCATGGGCCTGGTCATAGAGAAGCCCTGGACCAGGATGGCTGGTGGCTGAGCTTCGGTGGTTACTTTCTGCTTTCAACTTGGAAATGTGGATATGAGTGTGACCTTGGAGATGCCTTGACTTCCCTCCTGGTGGAGTCCAGTCTGTCCTAGGGTAGCAGGTTACCCCCCAGCCTCTGAGCTGCCAACAGCATCAGTATGCTCTTGAACTTGTTTTAGCTCCAACCCTCAGCAATGCCAGCTAGTGACTGATTGACAGCGTCAGTGATGTTACATTGTATCAGTCTGTGTTGACTGGTCTAGCCCTTCAGTTTACTCAGGTCCCTGTTTCCCTTCAGAGTGCCCCTGATGTGCCAGCATAAGTGTAGGAGAGGAGCAGGCACTTTCCCTGACTTTCTACTTAAATACACTCCATGGCACCCATGAAATGTGAGGCTCAGAAGCTTTCTTTTTTCTTCCTAACCAATTTAAACCTGCTTTCAGATTGCAAGACATGCCCGAAATTCCAGGGGCACACCTTTCTAACAAAATCTGATTCAGTGGAGTGTGCTGTGTTCAGAAGACCCTGTGACCCGTTTCTTTTGTGTGCACTGAAAGGGTACAATGGTCAAGCCTGCACGTCAACATCACAGTCTTAAAGGAGGCTTTAATTTTTTTCCCTATTTTTAAATTAAGGCAGCGGTTAGGTTTTGTCTCAGCGTTCTGAAAATGCTGGTCATTAAAAAAGAAAAGTCTCCAGTTCTTGAATTAGATTGCTGATTTAAAAACACATTCCCCCTTGAGATGTAGATGTTAGAACAACCCGGTTCCCCTTTGAAGACATTTGTTAAAAAGAGAACAAGTTCCACTATAATTTTTCTCTTTAAATTTGATAATTTTAAGACGTAATCTTCTCCCCAGGATCTTCCTCAGATTCAGCATTGTGCACTAAATTGAGCTCCTGTCATACAGATCCCCTTCACACATCCTCTTACCCCATTCCCCAAATGAAGAGGCAAATGCTAGTAGCTAAACGAAACACAGTGTAGGGAGCTCCCGGTGGCTCAGTTGACTGTCTGCAGATGGTCGAAAGCTGAGACTGGAGTTAAAAGGCCATCTAGGGTCCTTATGTCATCTGCACGATTGACACCAGGTATAAGACATCTAGCTTGCTGGCCATTTGTGATCTCAGAGGGGTCTGGGTGCTCACAAGGGCACTTGTACTATGTGACTGGTTCTAACCACCCTTCCCCTTGCTTTTTGTTTCTGATCTGTTTCAGGACATGGAGGAGTGAATCAGCTTGGGGGGGTTTTTGTGAATGGACGGCCACTCCCAGATGTAGTCCGCCAAAGGATAGTGGAACTTGCCCATCAAGGTGTCAGGCCCTGCGACATCTCCAGGCAGCTTCGGGTCAGCCATGGTTGTGTCAGCAAAATTCTTGGCAGGTAAAGGCACGGGCTCCAGGCTTCCCTCAATGTTTTAAAGAAAGAGCTAAAAGACAGCCCGCAGCTGTTCAAGGTGCCAGTGTCCCCATGAGACGATGGTGGACATTTTGCTCCACACACCCAGCACTTGAGCATTTGCAAAGTCTTTTGAGACCATCCTATTCAAAGTAGCTGTGGAAACTCCTCTTTTCAGTGACACGTGGAATAGGGGGACTTTGTTAGGAGAGACAATGTGCTTCTCAAAAGTCTGCTGAATTATTTTAAAGAACCCAAGAGTAGGAGGCTCTTAAGAATTTCCTCCTAAACCTCTTAGGTGAGCTTGGAAGGGAAAGGTTGGGAGAGGGAAATCAATAGATATACTACACAACCAGAGTCGAATGGTTCTTTTTACTTTTTCTCTTTTGGTGCAGGGCTGAGCTTTACCACCAGTCCTCAGCCTTTCCTTTAAATAGCACATTCTATCTTTAAAAGCCAGCCATAGTCTTCAGTTGTATCTTCAGCCTTATGATGTTGACTACAGTGTTTCCCTTCTCTGTGTTTTGTTCCTTTCATAGTGACAGGCAACCTGTGTATGCATTAACTTAGAAGGAGGAAAACAAACTAGCAACAAACACTAACTCTCAAATCTGACATTTGGAAGTTGCCACTTGACCCCTCAATTTGCTACAAGCAAAAATACTAACAATTACCTCCTCCCAGAGGGCTGTGCTGACTTTTCGCCTCACGTTTGTTTTTTTATCAGCCTCAGCACCAACCAGGTTTTAAGAAAAGGAAACAAATCTTTCCTAGGCAAACTGACTGGCCAGGGTATGTTTGGCTAAGTCAGCACTTGGGCTGGACTGAGGGCTAAATGATTCTGGGACCCATCTCTCTCAATAAATCCAAACCACATCAGTAGGTTTGCTGGCTTGTTTGTTTAATGTCCTGGACACGTGATTTGTTTTAGGGCTGCCTTGGCAGACAGGGAACAGTGTCAAGTTTAGCTGCACAGGGCTTTCTCACTATTTTTTCCTCACTGGTATCACTGGTCCTCATCTTTGTCCTGTGTGCTTTAACAACCGATGCCTGAAGGAAAGTTATGAACATTTTTGAAGTATTTTTGGAGTTTTCCTCAGTGATACTATGACTCTCTGCTCTTCTTGTTCCATCTGTTAGGACTTATGAATTCTCCCAACAAATACGGTGAAGTAGAAAGTCTTGATTAAGACCAAAGGCGGAAGTCGAGGGCCCAGGAATCTGACTGTTGCCTTAGGGCCACTAATCCCAGTATTTATTCTCCATTTTCTTGCCTAGCATGGGTCAGTTGTGGAGGCCGAGGGCGAATTCCAGTTCTACTTATCACTCAGCCGGCAAGGGAGTTCCAGCCTGGGGAGGTCATCAGCTTGGTGTGCCATTAGGTGATGGTTTAGGGAGAAAAGTGAGATCAAGCACAGTAAAGGGAAGGAGCAGGCAGGGAGACAGAAACAGAGGAGAGAAAACAAAGGGAAGAAAGAATGTGTCTTTTTAAGACACAATAGAAAAATACAGAAGAGGAGAGAGCAAGAAGAGAGCTATTTCAGAGGTTTCCAGTCTCACTTATGGAGCTGAATGGTCTCCAGTATCTTCTTGTGAGGCTTCTTTGTAGGGGGAAGTTGGAGAGATGAGAGGGGAGGTCCTTCCTTTGTTTTTACTGAGACATCTTTGCTGAGCTGACATTTGGTTCGCTGTTTGAAAATTTCAAGATAGTGAGAGCCTTTCTCAGACATCCAAAGACTGGTTCTCATGTTCTAAAGCTCTAGAGCCCTTTACATCTCCCATGAATACTGAGGTGGACAGGGATCTTTCTAAAGTCAGGCCAGCAGCCTCCCATGGACCAGAATAGATTTGTCACTGGACAGAGTGGCATTCGGAAGTTATGCGCCGCTCCGGTGCCTGGCCGTTTAAGTTGTCAACAATAAATTGGAATTTCATAGCTCATTATTTTCATAACTAAGAACCACAGTGGACAAAATGTCACTCTAATTAGAACTGCCTTTTAAGAAACAAGTTCAGCCCTAAAACAGTGTGTCTGGGAATTTCCAAAGTGGGCCAGTTTGATCCACAGATCCCCCCAACCCCCAGAGGAATTTGATGGGTGCTGACTGGGTGACATCATAGAGTGTTTGGTGTGTGGTGGCTGCGTTTTTCAAAGGTTGTGCAGCAAGGCTGGCAAAGTCCTTGGGAGCAGGCAGCTCTCTCTGTTCCCTCAGGAAGGTGTGTAGGCTGCCAGGGGTATAGACATCCACCCTAGAATTCAAGGCTGTAGAGGGCTGGGTATTATATGAAGACCAAGACAAGAGCAGGACTGTTGTCTCCTCTCATTGGGAATTCCAGGTCATTTGAAATTTGGTGACATGTCACATGATAAAATTAAAACAGTGGGGGTTTTAGTGCCCAACTGTGCACTCTACTTTATGCAAATTCTCTTTCATCTGTAATTTATTTTTTATTTTTGCAAAATCTTTTCAGTCATTCTGTATTCCTGTTGTCATAGCAGCTCTGCCAAGAAATCAGGGCAAATCCCCGCCCCTTACAGAACAGGGTAACTGAGGCCAAGGAAAGCTGAGTGAGTTGGTCAAGATCACAGAGCCGTTTGGTGTCAGAGCCACTACAGGCATGGCACCTCTTGACTCCCAACCTAATGCTCTTTGTGCTCTTTGCATCGAGGGACACTGTGCTGGTGGCTGTCGCTCTTCTTTTGTCTGTAAGCCAAAGGGCTGCACGGCTGTTTTGCTGAGATGAAAGGATGGTTATTAAGTCCGAATCCTCACTTGACACAGTCTCGAGTTGGAGTTTCGGGGGGTGTCTGTGTTACTTTCTAAGGGTCTGGCCCACGTGTCAGTCAAATGGACCACAGAAGCCTCGATTGTTATGACTGTGGAATCCCGTAGTTGGCACTGCTCAAGTACGCAGGGCAGGGAGCCCTGGGCTGCTGCATGCCAGCCACGTAAGCGGGGGCTTTACTCTGCTGCTGTGTGAGCTGCTGTGTGGTCACTGTGGTTCCACTGAGAACACGGTGCAGTCTGTACATCTGTAAGTGCTGAGACCATCCATGCCCTAAGAGGAGCCAGTGACTTTTGGTTTGCTGAATGAGTGAAAGAAGCTTGAGAAAAGACCTTGCAAGTGGCAAAGCTCTCCCCAGTTATAAGAAGTGCAACTCTCAATGCTTCAAATGTTATAATGAAAGCAGAAGCATGTAGGAAGAGCACTGGATTCAAAGTCTGTCTCTGTAGCTAGAAGGGGTTATGCAGGTCCCTTAGTCTTCTGATTATTTATTTTTTTCTTCTATAAAAACCCCTGCCAAAGATGAGTGAGGATCAAGGTGATTTGAAGAACTCCACAAGCTCAGAGGGCTGTACCAAATAACAACTTGTTATGTGACCGTTAGCAATCCACTTTCTCTTGAGAAGCCAACAGGACTGTAGAATCCCCAGGAGATGCTATGTGCCAGAATTTAGGTGCCTTTCTACTTTCTATAAAAAGATATTATTTCCCTGGATTGAACTGTTTTGTGATTAAAAGCAATTTTTAAAGAAAATGTCTTTCAACAATTTATAAAGAAGGAAAACAGGTTGAGCTCGGTTTGATGGTTAAAATTTGTGAATGGCTCAGTCTTCTCGATGAAAACTAGGACTGTTCTTCACTTCTGTAATACTCACTCACTTGGCCCTAGACAGACGTATCCAAGCAGAGAATTCTAGCAACCTCTACATGTTTCACGATGCTCTGGGTCCCATTCCATCCATCCATCCATCCATCCACCCATCCATCCATCCATCCAACATTCCATCCATCCATCCATCCATCCATCCATCCATCCATCCACCCATCCATCCATCAGAATCACCTTATTCTCAATCACCTTATTCTCTCTCTCTCTCTCTCTCTCTCTCTCTCTCTCTCTCTCTCTTTCTCTCTCTGTCTCTCTCTCTCTGTCTCTCTCTCTCTCACCAAGTCTCCTTGAAACTTGTGATCCTCCTGCCTCCACACATTTCAGATGTGTGCCACCATTTCTAGTGCCTTCCCCTACTTCTTATCAACACTCTAGGTTTAAACATTTATAATTATTAAAATGTCTTTTGAGTTAAAAATTTTTCCAACCTTAGGATAATCTTCTTTGAAAGAGGGACTCAAATTCCTCTTTAAAACTGAGAGAGGCATCAGTAACTGCCAGATTTCAGAAAAAAACCCAAGTCATCCCCCACCCCACCCCCGCCTCCAATGGTCTTTCATGCCTCTCTTCTCTCTGGTCTCGGTTTTGCTGTAAAACCCTGACATCCTATTTGCGTTAACGAGGAAAAGCTGATAGCATGGAAATGTCCTTAGAAACAGCCATTTACCTCAGGGGAGACCTCTGGGAGAGCTGGCAAGAATTGTGGTTGGTTTTTCTGATTGCTCGGGATTTGATTTCTAATACATATTTCCCATTAACGCTGGAATCCAACACTCCCTTTAATTTTATATCAGCTATTGTTTTTCTCTTTCGGAAGAAAAAGTGTAGTACAGGGGACAGCTTGAGAGAATGTTAGAGATTCTGCTGGGTATGGGAGAGCCAGCAAACTGAACGTCTATACTACCTTTCTCGGGAAATTTTAGTTGAAGAAGCTTGGCCAGAGTCAAAGCACCTTAACCCTTTGTTACCTCAAGGAAGACAGTTAACCGGTATAAAGGCATTTTATATCACAAAAGTATATGTCAACTAACTGTCCACCCACTTATTCTTCTAAAGCAATTTATGTGCTTTAGAGCTGCCAGAGGACAGAGAGGAAAAACTGACTTGTATTTTCTAAAACAATCTGTAAATATGTATTTTATGATTATGTTATAAAATATAATACAAGCCATGTGGGCAATTTGAAAAGCCATAGCACATTAAGAAAAGTAAAAAGAAACTAGTATAATTACTTTTAATTACGAATTTTATTTAACCTAGTGCATACAGATTGTCATTTTAACATATAACAAATATAAAAAGTATTAATGATCTGGCCAGATGGCTCACCTGGTCAAGGCGCTTGCTGCCAAATCTGGTGACCAGGATTCAATCCCTGGGACTCCATGGTGGAAGGACAGAACTGATTCAGGAAGGTTGTCCTCTGAGCTTGGCACACACGTACATTCAAGGAGACACGTATGTACACAAAATGCATACTTTTAAGAAATCAAGTTTAAAAACCATCAAGCTATTTAATAGCCTTGTTAGTACTATGTTTAAAGGTCTGTTTATATTTTCAGTGCACTATAAGTCACACTTTGCATGTTTCAAATGTTCATCCACTCTCCAGGCTCCCATGGTTAACCATGGCTGACTATGGTCCTCTCTTCTTGGGTCTAGGTATTATGAGACAGGAAGCATCAAGCCGGGGGTGATTGGAGGATCCAAACCAAAGGTTGCCACTCCCAAAGTGGTGGAAAAAATCGCTGAGTACAAACGCCAAAATCCTACCATGTTTGCCTGGGAGATCAGGGACCGGCTGTTGGCAGAGCGAGTCTGTGATAATGACACAGTGCCCAGCGTCAGCTCCATCAACAGGTGAGGCTGGGGACTCGGGTGGGGCTGGTGCACTGAAGGGTCCCTGTGTGCCTCCTGAAGAGCTCGCTCTTCTTCTTTCACTCCCTGGGGATTAGTGAGCAAGGGAGAAGACAGATGGTGCTGGACTCAGCTACCAGAAGAGGACATCATGCCGATAACCTAGGCCACTTAAGTTTTCTGAGCCAGGAGTAACTGACATCCCTGAGTTCATCTGCCTTTGTGGAGCACTCTGTATAAACTGTCCTGATTATCCTTTCGCAAAATCCCTGCCCCTGGGGGCTAACTCATCTCAGAGGTTCCCAGGCAGACAGTCCAGCTTCCAGTTAGGATGGAGGTTGAACCACTTATGTGTTGGAAACAAAGTCCTTTTTTGGGCTGAGCACATGTAGCTCTGTGTTCTAGCCCTGTTACCAAATTGAAGTGAGATCTGAGAGCCCAGGACACTGTTGTGGGTTTTCTAATGTTTCTAATGTGAACTCTTCAGGGTACTAAGGTGCTCCAGAGACAAGGAGATGCCTGGTCCCATGTACCCTCAGATCTCAGGACCCAGGGAGAGAAAAGACTAAGAAAGAGAAATACACCATGGTGACAGGCATAGCATTTTCGTGGACTTCACAATGGTGTCCTCTCTTTTCCTTAGGCTGATCCAAAGCATATTGACTGATACCATCAGAGCCTTAAAAATAAATTTCTGACTAGGCATAGGTGTAGTAACACACATGTGTAATTTCAGCAGTGTGAGGACAGTGTTTTTGAGACTAGCCTGGACTACACAGCAAGAGCCCAATTCAAAAAATAAAATACTACATAAAATGAAAATTACATTCTGCGAGAAATTTTTCCTTTCCTTTCCTTTCCTTTCCTTTCCTTTCCTTTCCTTTCCTTTCCTTTCCCCTTCCTCCCTTCTTCCCTCCCTCCCTCCCTTCCTTCCTTTCTTCCTTCCTTCCTTAATGAGAGAGAGAGTCTCTTTCTGTATCTCTAGCTGGCCTGGAACTTGCTGCTTGAAATGATCCTCCTGTCTCAGTTTCCTGTGTGCTGGGGTTACACATGTGTGTCGCTATCCAAAGTGGTACTTTTCTATTATAGGTAGATCCATTTGAGCCTATAGTCAGGAGCTGAGTATGTAGTTCAGTTGTTAGAGTGTTTGCCTTGCATACATGAAGCCCTGGGCTACAACCTTAGTACCACCTAAACCTGGTGCGATGGGACATGCCCATAATCCCAGTGGGATTACAGTAGAGGCAGAAGGATCGGGAATTCAAGATCACCCTTAGGTGACATGGACATGAGAACCCACCTCCAAAATCCAAAGAAACAAACAAACAATCCCACAGCCAGGGACAAAATGAAGAGATGAAAATACACAATTGTTCTCATAAGAAACAATGTGTTCACATAAGCAAGGAAGCCAGAAGTCTGGGAATTGGACCATTCCAGTTTCTTCAGTTACACCCTACTGTGACTAGTGCTGAGAACTCCTTACCCTTGCAAGAAAGAGGTGGTCAGAAGGGAATGTCTCTGAGGCCCGCTCTGGGCCGGATGACAGCACCTTGAGTGATGACTCAGATGCACAGTGTCACCATGTAATGTGTTGACTTTTTTTTTTAAGTCCCACTAATTCATTAACTCTTGGCCCATTTGCTTCCCTTGCCAATCCCTGCTGAGACTCTGCCGTCTTGCAAGGTGCTGAAGAAGAGGGAAAGTGGGTGCAAGCTTTTCAGACCTGTCCTAGATGGTAGACCTGAGGAGGGAGGACAATGCCAGTAGGCCCTGGGGGAGGGGTGTAGTATCTGCTCTTTTTCTGAAATGTGAAAGGTTCTAGTCATGCGTTCCCCATGTCTGTCTCATTGCAGGGGTTTTGGGACACAAAACAAACATGATCGTTTTCTGGGTTCAGGGTTGTTATTTTTTCTTTTAAAAGTAAAGGAGGCCATTGGCAAATAAGAGATCCTAGCTGCCTTTCCAGTAAAATTTTAGTGGAAGAATGTGAATTTTGCTAATACATACTATTAGCATAGTATGTATTATATAGTACACAGTAATAATTATGCTATTATTAGATACAATATGTGTGCAATTTGAAATCTTCTAGTAAAATTTTCTAGTAAAAAGAAATAAGTAAAAAGAAATATGTGTAATTAATTGTAGTTATATTTACTTAACCACCCATATAGAAAAAAGTATTTCAATGTACAATCAGTATGAAAATTGTTAATGAGCTGTTTAGCATTCCCTTTTTGGGTACTAAGATTTTAAAATGTGATTCACAGCACAAATGGACTCATACTAGATACATACCATTGCTCACCCACACAGCTGTCCCCGTGGTTAAGCACCCTACTGCTGAGGTCTCTGTGAGCCAGGAATTGTCCAGCTGAGGCAGGGTCATTGAAGAATGTAGAGGCAGGATCAGAGGCAATACTGGAGAAGTTGATCCTCTCTGCAGAGTAACCTTGGGCAAGCACCAGATTGGGATTTGGGGAGCCTACAGGTTTTTCCAATATAAGGTACACACACAATGACGCTGTCCACAGAATAACCTTGGCAGCCCATGGTGATCACAAACTCTATTGCCTATGTGGGTAAGGCCAGGCAGATGGCTTAGTGAGGAAAACAGGCCAGAGGTGAGAGGCTGTCATGGCTAAGGCAAGTGAGACAGCACAGCCCTGTGAGTGGGCAGCTGTTACCAAATCTCAGCTGGGAGCTGCTGGGAGAGTGGGCCGGAATCTTCCCACTTCTCAAGGGAATCTAGAGACCAGGATCTCTGTGGAGGTGGATGCGTGTGCATGAAAAACGTCTAGATGTTTAACTGGTGGCCATAGCATGTTTCTTTGAGATAACTCACTTTGGGCTTACATGTAGTTTTAAATTACGCTTGTTTATTTACTCATCACATCTCATCCTTGCAAAGATAGAAGCAGTTGGAGGTGTAGCAAAGGCTGTGCATGGTGGGCTTGAATGAATGGTCCAGGGACATCAGGCATGGCTGATTCTGTGTCTAAGGATGTGCTACTGGAGGCTCTGGTGCTGGTGACTGCAGCCATGGCTAGACTCTGGGATCTCTAGGGTATCTTAGTCCATAGATGTGGCTGGCTGAGTATATCACCACATGGCCTTTCTATCTGTGGCCTGCCACAGCCCTCGGGCCTGCTGCTGTCCTGTGGCAGGTGTAGAAGCTAAGGCCCAGACGGGAAGGCTAGGGGAAAGGCACTTAAGATGGAGACGAGCGTAAAATCAATAGTAAGATGAGGCCTGGCATCCACCAATGTCCTAAAAGTCTCTGCAAGCCACCTCCCATGAGAAGGAGGCCAGAAGGAGATGTCGCCTTTCTTTCCCTATTTCAGAACATTATGTCTGACATGCTTTGCTGTCTACTGATACCAGGAATCCTTAGATCTTTCCAGCACTTCTCTCCAGGCTCTTCCTGGGGACTCCTCACTGCATGTTCAGTGGCGGTGGCCCAAATGTGAAGGTTTCTCTTGCAAATGCACCCCCACTCCAGTCTCATTGGAAAGCCTGTGCCATCCACTACAGAATTGATTTTATTTATTTTTTTATAGGAAGGTAGAGTCTGTTGCATTAAGAATAATGCACCATCAAGTAAGCAGCTTGCAAGTATCAAGAGAAAGAGAGTTCCTAGCTCTCTCCTAGAATGTGCCCGCCAAGGCAATGTCTCACTGTTTCTCTATTTCAGACAGCTAGAGAGAAGGTGATATCTGCATTCATACTTGTTCTAGTAGCTACGGGGTCCTCTTTATTGCCCACCCTAGAGGCACCATACTACTGTTTCCAGGAACCAACTCTGGAAAGAATGCTGACGTGGAGCTAAATATCACTGAAGCAGTTCTATCAGGCTGGTGGGAGACTGCCTGCGACATAAGCCACCTTGCTCATCATTTGGGATGCTTCATTTGGGAGTCTTGAGGGCCAGGCAGGGTATCAGGGCAGATGGAGATGGTGGGTGGAGTGGAGTCTCTCTTCTCTTCCAGTTCTGACAGCTCTAAATTAGGGGCCATGCACTGAGACAAGTGGCATTCCCAGTAGTGTGTGTGTGTGTGTGTGTGTGTGTGTGTGTGTATGAGGGGCCAGCATTACTGACTCAGGTCAGACTTTTATGGAAAACTTCAAAGCTTACACATACTTGCTATTTATTTGATAACCAACAAAACCAAAAGCATCTTTGCAGAGATTGGAGGTAGCCTGGTGAAAGATGGATTGTTAACTTTATTTAGCTATTTTTGTTTTGTTGGAGTTGGGCTTGACTTGTGGTCTAGACAGCTTTCCAGCTGTCTACATACCTGCCTCGGTCGCCTGAGTGCTAGGGTTTGCATGCCAGCCTTACTCCTGCTTTTGAACTTTAACTTTGGCAGCAAGTCTTCTGAGACAGTTCTTCATTCCCTTTCTCGCCTTCTCATGGGCAGCAGGCCTCAGTGTGGGTGTGGGTTCAACCAGCGAGGTCCCAGAATTTTGGATCCTCAGTGTAGCCTGTACATCTTAGTGTCTTCAGCAGCGTGGTTATTTCTCTTTCTCCTTTTTACCCTTTTTAGCAGTGTGTATGTATGTGTGTGTGTGTGTGTGTGTGTGTGTGTGTGTTGCTGCTGTTGTTGTTGTTGTTCTATGTGTGTATATCTCGAAGCTGGAGCTTCATGTCAAGAATCACCCTCAGTCAGTATTCTACCTCATTGTTGAGGCAGGGTCTCTCAGCGAGTCCCAGTGGCTGCTGCTGATTACTCTAACTAGCTGTCTTGCAATGGACATCCTCTGCCTGTTCCTTCTGAGGCTGGAATTACAGACAGGCTGCCTGGCATTTACCTGAGTTTCTCAGATCTGAACTCTGGTTCTTATGTTTGCCTGCCAAGCGATTCAATTGCTGGGCTATCTCCTCAGCCCTTACCCTCTTTTTGAGACACTTTCATGTGGCCCAGGCTGGCCTTGAACTTGCTATGCAGTCAAAGATGATCGTGAGCTTCTGACCCTCCTACCTTACCTTGGGATGCTGGGATCACTCGGAGTGCGGGTGGTGCCGGAGCCTGACTGCAAGGCCTTGTGTATGTATGTGCTGGGCAGGCATTGTACCAGCCAGCTACATCCCCACTCCCCATCGGACATTTTCCAAGGCACCACAATGTATATTTTTGTATACATTTAATTTTTTTGTTTACAGTATAATTTTGTGTGAGGTGGTGAGATATGGTGGTATGAAGACCTAGTCTTTCAAAGGAGGGAGATGATGCTGGAATGGGATCCCTAAATGCTTACAAGGAAGATCCTTTAGATTCTGAAAAAATGGATTTTTGAGTCCAAATAGCTTCTGTGTTTATATGGGACCTGGTTAGCAGAGGGGAACACTTCCTTCGAATGCATCTCAGGCCTGGGAGCTAGGGGTCTGGACTAAGCCTGTGCTGTGACCTTGGCTAAATCACTGGAGTGTGCCGGGCTTCAGTCTCTTCATCAGTGTTAAACCAGAGCATGTTAGCATGTTATCCTGGGCCATACTCAGCATGCTTATGTTTGGCAGTATAGAATATATAGCCTTATATATTTACTTTAGATATTGTCTCACTATGAACCCCAGGCTGGCCTTGAACTCAGGATCCTTCCACCTTAGCCTCCTGAGCACTGGGATCACAGTTGTTCATGTGCCTTAAGCAAATGTGAAGTGTCTAAATGTTTTAAAGTTGAAGCTTCTCCTTCATCTTTATGATGACAGCAATGAGAATCAGCTCATGTGACACTTATTGGGTATTTGGTAGGGATCAGCCACATCTGACTAGTTTATTAATTCAGCCCTAATATAATGACACTTCCATGGGGGTGGGGTTGATGCTTGCTCTCAGTTTTCAGATGAGGGAACTGAGGTAGGAAAACCGAAGGCTGGATTTGAACTCCCGTGCTCTGGTTCTGGGGTCTGTTCACTTACTCTCTGTGCTGCCGTGGCCTGTTAATGGTTCTTGACCTCTCAGAACACTTTGCCAGTGATTTACAGGTATTTGAAAAGAAATGTGAAAAACGTACACATTGTTTTGTCTCTAGACAAATTTAATAAAAAGTTAGGGTTTTAAGTTGGACTTCAGTAGGAAATAGGATATATATCTAACATATGTATACTTATATATCTGCTGCATCATTGTACACACATACACACACACACACACACACACACACACACACACACACACACGATCAAGGCTGCCAAGATGGCTCAGCAAGTAAAGTTACTTGACATGTCTTGTGACAACCTGAGTTTATCCCTTCAGTCCATATGGTGGAAGGAGAAAATCAACCCTGGAAGTTGTCCTCTGTCTCCAGCATATGCATGCACACACACACACACACACACACACACAGACAGACACACACAAATTAATCTTGAAAACCTTTTTAAAAAAACAAATTGAGCCGGGCAGTGGTGGCGCACACCTTTAATCCCAGCACTTGGGAGGCAGAGGCAGGTGGATTTCTGAGTTCGAGGCCAGCCTGGTCTACAGAGTGACAGCCAGGACTACACAGAGAAACCCTGTCTCGAAACAAAGCAAAACAAAACAACAAACAAAAAACAAACAACAAAAAAAACCCCAAAAACAAAAACCAATCAAAACTTTAAAAAACCAAGTTGGATAGCAACATAATTCAGGTGGTCAAGAAAAGGAATCTTACTCCAGGTCTTTAAACACAGAGTCAATATACTCTGTGTTTGCTTAATGGAAACAACTACTCTGAGAATTGTAACAAACAAACAAATATATACATATGCTCAGTACATTTGAGGAGGTGTTTCACTCAGGTGGTCAGGACTCGGATGTTCTGTGGTTAGGTTTGTAGCATCAATGAACAAGTCAATTCCAGAGATTAGCTACCCATATCAAGTGCTCTGGTGCCTAGCACCAATCTGTATCTAAGGTAGACCCAGAGCTGAGTAGCAGTGAGGTTAACAGGAGGCATCTGCTACTTCTGTCCTTTCTGTGCAGAAGCCAGGAACCTAGGGCAGCCTTGAAACAGACATTCAGATACAATGGTTTGTCGTGTGTGAAGTGCAGGAGATGAAAACAGAGTGCACAGCTTAATCCTGATTTGTTGATGGAGAATGGTGTTTTGAAACAGCAGCAGGGATGTGAATATAACTATATCCAATGTGAATGTAGTGGGCTTTTTTTCTTTTTTTTTCTTTCCTTCTGAGATGGGGTCTTTTTAGACAGTTTAGGCTGGCCTCAAACTTTCAGTCTTTTGTGTCTCAGCTTCCCAAGAGCTGGGATTACAGGCAGGCATCATAGATATCTTCTTTATACTCACGTGTTGTCCACAGAGTCTATAGTGGATGGGTGGAGATGGCTCGGGGGCAAAGGGCTTGTCCTGTGAGAATAGGGACCTGATTTTGTGTCCTTAGAATCCACATTTACAAAAGCTGAGTAAAGTTCTGTGAGGTGGCTCAGTCAAGTGATGGCGCTTGCCACCAATCTGAGTATTTGTGTGATCTTTGGAGCCAATATGGTGAAGGAGGGAAAACACAGAGCCTCCAGGTTGCTGGCTAGCCAGCCTACCCTGAGTAACAACATCCGAGGTTGTCTCCAGGCTTCTACACACACTCACACAATGTGCACAGGAATATACAGACACATACTCATACACAGAATGTAAAAAGTACTCTATAATGAACACAGAATATTTAATAATGAAGTAAAACTCGACCAGGTGTCCTGTTAAAAAGGAACAGTTTGAGCCTGGAACAAAACTTTTCCAGAGAAAGTCAACATTTTATTATATCACGACTAACCCATTTCCAGGGACTTTTGGTTGTCTTTGTTCTGTGTTCAAAGATGTGCTATGCTAGTGGTCTACTGGGGGCTCTCCGCTGATCCTGCTAGAAGCTTACCATCGAGGCTCCCCATGCTCCTGGAGAGTGTCAGGATTGCCAGGCTTCAGGAGAAGAGAAGTCAATGCAGCCTTTATCTTTAAATATGGAGAGCCTTCCTGTAAATTTAATTTTTTTTATGAAAAGTATTTGATTACTTAAAATAATCAAAGAATGATTTATGGAAACTCCTCAGTTGAGCTGAGGCCACAGTGGAACAGTCTTGCTCAAAGTCATAGTCAGGTTCCTGCTAGGACTGCAACAAAGATTCTGGAAGGCAAACTGAGCCCTTCTGGCTCCCAGCTGTGTGGGTCCTTTCTATGAAGTTTGTTAGTTTTAATGTAATAAAGTTTTATTTTTTCAAATGTCCTGTCTGTTGAACCTGCTCCAATGTCTTTGGCAGTCGCTAGGGCATCTCTACTCTTTGTGTTTCTGGTGTAAATGACATGGGCTCTGTGCTTTGAAGTCAGGTTGATGCATCCTCTGCTAAGGCACTCCCACACCCGAAGGCTACTCTGGCCAGGGAACTGGGAACCTTTAGTCTCTCAAAGAGCATAGCTGGAGTCATAGGTTTATAGTTGGGCATTGTATAAAGAGTTTGTCAGATAGGACCAGGTAGATGAGTTTGTCCTGAACTTTGCCTTTGGAACACTTGTTTTGGCTTTGCCCCACATTTGCTTACCGACTCTTTGTCTTTGGCCAACTTTCTGGTGTTTTTTTCTTCTTGTTGTCATCCTCAGACAACATGGTGAAACTCTGCAAACAACAGCAAGCACTGCAGCTAAGATTCTCCCCATGGGTGGGTCTGAGCTGGCTTCTTGGTGAGGCCCAGCCAAGTGCTTTCTTTGGGTAGCACTTTAGCCCTTCAAGGACACACATGTTCTCCCTTGTTGATTTTCCTGGTGGGTGCATTAAGCTTATTTGTGAAATCTTTGGGCCAAGAATCCAACATGGAAGTGCTTCCAGAGGACAAGCAGTTTGCCTGATTCAGTTCTCCTGTCCCACGGGTGGAGGCTGAGCTCTAGAGAGGGGGAAGGATCTCTGAGGGGGCTGCAGATACACCTGAGAGACAGTTAGGCCAACCTGGACCAGTATCACATCATCTTCTTTCTTCAGAAAAAGAAGCACTCAGCCAGGTGTGATGATGCACACCTGAAATCCCAGCACCTAGTAGGAGAGGCAGGAGAATCAGGAAGAAGTTCAAAGACAGCCTTTGGTACATAGGGAGCTTGAGGCTGGATGAGTTCTGTGAGATTCTATCTTAGAAAACTAGACCAAAGCTCGTGTACACACACACACACACACACACACACACACACACATCAGAGAGGCTCTGAGGGTCCAGGAATCGTGGGTGTAAGCCACCCAAAGACAGCCATGGGAAAAATCCCCTCAGAACCCCTAATTCCCAGCCTGGATTTATAATCTATCAATTCTGCTCTTCTGTGTCTCTGCTTACCTAGGTAAGGTCTCTTTCTTCTTCCTCTCTCTCTCTCTTTTTTAAAGGGAGGGGCTCATGCATGCTTCACTAGGCTTGGACTTGCTATGCAGCTGGGGATAACTTTGAACTTCTGATTGTCTTACCTCCTCTTCCCATGTGCTGGGACTATGGGTGTGTAGTACCATGTTCAGTTTACTCCTTGCTGGGGATGGAACCCAGGGCTTTGCTCATGCCAGGCAAGCCCTCTATCAAGGGAATGACACCCCAGCCTCAGGGTCTCTTTCCTTCTCAATGGTAAATAGTCTTTTTTCCCCCCAACTGCCTACAGGATCATCCGGACAAAAGTACAGCAGCCCCCCAATCAGCCGGTCCCAGCTTCCAGTCACAGCATAGGTAAGAACTTTTAAAAAAAATTTGAAAATCTAATGGGCTCCAAATATTCTAAAGAACTTTTAATCATTCTTATGGACAGATAATTCTGCATAAAACACTTCACACGCGTCCTAATGCTCCTTCTTTGTCATTCTCCAAGGGCTGAACCTGGCAAATGAATTTTATAAATACTGCTAAAAGGTTTTGAATTTTACTGATTATTATGATAAATAGCTTTCACCATGAGACAGAAAATTGAAATCTAAGCCAAAAAAAAAATCCACTAATGGGGGTCTATAGAATGTCAGATAATTAAAGTAATAAATCAAGAAAGGGATACTTATTCATAACATTTTCTGCACCATTAGTCAGTAAGTAGTTTTGAATGTGTTTTTTTCTTCTTCTATAACCGGCCTTCTGCAATGCTTTGTGCGCCTGCAGTCTTGAGTGAAGATGTAGCAAAACTTCTCAAACTTTTTTCTCTCCCTTGCTCTCGCTTCGCTCTCTCGTACTCTGCCAACTGTTGAGGGCTGCCTGTGGGGTTTCCGAGGTCCACAGGGGAAGTCTGAGTGACCGTGACTCACTAGGGCAGACTCCTAATTCACCACACTCAAAAGTCTAAACTTTTCTCTTGCTTTCTCTTCAAAGGGGAGCTGAAAATGACATTTATAGTCAAGGCATGTCCTTGATGTCATTTCCCTTGGGACAAGGGAATACTTGTGGGTTGCTGGGGTGAGGGAGTTACTCTATTGTGAGAAAGCTGGTGACTGTTCAGTAAGCTACTGCAAGTTTGGGTACCACACACCTGGAGAATTCTGCAGAACTGCACCCCAGATTGTGGAGTATTCCTGCACACTTATCACTGCCAGTTAAATCTGTGTGTGTGTGCAATGTGTGTGAGCAATGTGTATGTGTGCAATGTGTGTGTGTGCAATGTGTGTGTACAATGTGTGTGAGCAATGTATGTGTGCAATGTGTGTGTGCAATGTATGTGTGCAATGTGTGTGTGCTTACTTGAGGAAGCCAGGAGAGGGCAATGGCTCCCTTGGAGCAGGAGTTACAGGCAGTTATGAGCTACTTGATACAGGTGCGGAACTCAGGTCTTCTAGAACAGCAACCAACCAATGAGCCTTCTCTCCGGCCTCCACTGCCACTCTTTCTTTCAATAAAACCTGGTGATGAGAAAACTGTCAGAGGCCTGGCCTAGAGTTCCACTTCTGTCATTAACCTCAGCCAGTGAACTAGATGAATCTCTTGGCTCTGAGCATCAGTTTTTTTTTTTATTATTATTATTGATTGAAGGGTCACAAAGGTATTCCCTGGGGTTTCTGGTCCTCTAAGGATGGCTCTTTGAAAAAGAAGTCCTCCCTGCCCAGAGACCATTCTCATTCAGCACTGCTGTTTGCACTTGTTATGTAGAGCCTGGTGTCAAAAATTTCTGTTCTCAAGGACTTCCAGTCCCATGGGGGACCGTGTGGAGGGAGTTGGGGAACACAAAACAAAAAACCACTACCACCACCACCAAAGCAAAACAAACAAACAAAACAAAAACAAACAAATAACAACAACAAAAATCCCCAATCAAAGCCCCCCAAAGAGGTCTCCTTGTGTAGCAGAAGGGGAGACTCCTCTTTGCAGGGTGGAATGGCCGACTCAAGCGGGTTTCCTGGGTGGGGTGAGGGGGTGTTTCTGGCTGACCTTTCACTTGGCTTTAACTGTTCCAAGTTGGGTAGCATGAAAAACCAAAACCATCTTTCAGTAGTAATAAGAATAATTCTACAGTAACTCAACAGATAGGTTTTGCCCCAGAAATGTCTAGTACAACTTTATCTCAAGTGTATATAAAACTTTATCTCAAGTGTATATAGCCTCACACAGTATCTGAATTTATGAGCATTGAGGGCCCTAGACCTCAGAGGTTCAGTGACTAGTTTAAAGTCATAGGTGAAGCCAGAACTGGAACCTGGGTCCTCTGTGCCCTGTGTAATTACAAAATAACTAAGCAAGTGTCATTGGCTCTGCCCGTGACATGGCCAAGCCTGGCTTCTATGGACTGTTGTTTGAAGTGCCAAATGATTTTTTTATTTTTATCTTTTTGTTCTTTGCACCTCAATACAGAAGAGGTTGTGGGATTTGCATAAATCTATCTTGAGGAGCTTTTTCTGGTGAAGAGAAAGAGAAGTTAGCAATTTCTGCTTTGGTGTATCTTAAGAAGGCTCTAAAATCAAGCTCAATTGTGAGCAGAAAGGCACTGTGCCCTCTAGATGTGCAGAGGCAGGTGCTGCCTCTGCTCCAAGGAGTGACTTCTCACCCCCAGGCACGTCCTGGTTTGCAAAGTAAAGACTCCGGCTGCCTCTAGCTGGTTGCTCATGGAGAGGTGTGGGAGTGGTCTGCTGGTCTTTACCAATGGAGGAAGAACTTCTACAGCCCACAGGTGGAAATCCAGCCACACAGTTAGAGAGGACCCTTATGGGTGTCCTGGACTCTAGACTAGGAGTCACTGGGGAACTTACTGAAGTCCCCTCTCCTCCTGACCCCAAGGGACTCAGACCTGGCCTTGGCCACAATAAGTGTCCACCTCTGTTTCCACTTCTAGGAAGGGAAAAATTAGAACTGAGGCTAAGTATGGCTCTGCTGAGCTAGATCACCTGGAACCGATCCACCTTGTGAAACTAACTCTCCTCATTTGGCAAATAGAAATAATCAGTAGAGCCTGGGCTCCTGCAAGGATCAAGTGGAAAGTACGATACCAGTACAGATCTATTATATTGTCCAGTATTCACCAGTGAAGAGCATACTTATTACACTTTACTTAGAGCATGCTTGTGTGTGTTTGTGTGTGTGCTTGTGTGTGTTTGTGTGTTTGTGTGTGTGTATGAATACATACATGGATGGAATGTGAGCAGAGATAACCATGACTCCAGAATGCATCTAGGTGTCTTTCCAGCACTGGAGGTGACAGCAGCTGATGCCCCATCCACCCTACCCCATCCTCTTGTCTCCTGCACCCTTGGACTGGCTGGGATCTTAGTAAATTCCCCTTTTATTCTGTGCTTGTATTCCCTTTCTGCTGGGTCAGGGTGGGTATCCTTGAGCTGGCACTTTCCCTTCTGTGGTGGTTGTACCCAGCCCAGTGTATCTAGTGAGCACCTTTGTCACAGGCCAGCACCCCTCTCCTTCTACAGTGTCTACAGGCTCCGTGACGCAGGTGTCGTCGGTGAGCACCGACTCTGCAGGCTCCTCATACTCCATCAGTGGCATCCTGGGCATCACGTCCCCCAGTGCTGACACCAACAAGCGCAAGAGGGATGAAGGTAAGAGACGGCTGCACATTCCTGCCAGGGATGGACCGAACAGGGTCTGTGAGGAGCACTCACGGAAGGCAGAAACAAAAGTGCTGCGAACATGTTTAGCTGCAGAGGACTGGAGTTCCCAGGGCCCTAGCCTTTCCTGAGACAAGGAAGATGGACAGGCACCTGTGTGGGACTCCTTCCTGGCTGGTATCCTCCCATCTTTACTCCTTGGGTGAGAAGAGCCTTTAAAGAGGATCCTGAGGAGAGATATGGTGCCCCAGGGCTGCTGTGTATAGAAGATCTGAGCTTGGCACCGGTGTCTTCTTTGTGGGTTTTGGAGGCAGGAGAGGGATTGAGAAGGGCAGCTGTTGCTTTGTCCTGAAGTAAGGGACACATGTTGGGAAGAAAGGGCAGGGACTGGAAACACTCCTCTGGAGAAAGTGGAGCAATGGTGTTGGAGGGTGGATGGAAATAAATAACCATCTCATTTTTGCTCTTGGACTTGAGAGGAAGGAGCCCTGGGGCCTCCTGGGGATTACAAAGAGGCAACTTTTTCCTGTGCTTCCTGAACAATTGGAGCTAGCCACCTATGTGTAGGACACATGCTACAGTTACCTGGTCTTCCACTGGATGGGCCACTGGCACTGGCTGACATTAGCTAGTTTAAGAGGAAAAACAACCTCCTGGAAGTCTTAGTCTGAAAATGTGTGTGTTTGTGTGTGCATGTGTCTGTGTCTGTATGTGAGTGTGTGTGTGTGTTTGTGTGTGTGTATGTAAGGGTATCTTTGTGTCTGTGTCTGTGTGTGTCTGTGTGTGAGTCTGTGTGTGAGTGTGTGTGTCTGTGTGTGAGTGTGTGTGTCTGTGTGTGAGTATGTATCTGTGTGTGAGTATGTGTGTCTGTGTGTGAGTGTCTGTGTGTGAGTGTGTGTGTCTATGTGTGAGTGTGTGTGTCTGTGTGTCTGTGTGTGAGTCTGTGTGTGAGTGTGTGTGTCTGGGTGTGAGCTATGGTGTAGGGCTGGAGAGCAGAGTTACAGAATTTTGATTCAATTATCTATTTGCTGGCACAATTCTTCCTTAGCATCATGTAAGGGATGCATGTTCTCATGGAGATACATGACTAACTACTTAAGATCGGTAACTGGGACATTTAGCCCAGTGGAGGATTGGCCTGGGGTCTGTGTGCCCCAGGCATTGGAGATGGGCCTGTGGCCTCAGTTGGCAATGGTAGGCCAAGTCAGCATGATTCATGGTTCTTAAGAGTGTGCCTTGCCTCCTTCCCTAGCTCCCATGCCTCAGAAACAGATGTCAGAAGTCTTTAACTCAGTGGGTTGCTGTGCCAGCTTGCTGCGGGAGGCAGTGGGCCTGCCATCTCTGTTGGTTTATGAAGTTGATGGTGTCATCTTTTCTCTCCATGTCACCTGGACACTAAGCAGTTGTGCCAAGCTGGTGTCTGGCTGTGTTTGATCACAGTGAAGGGCTGGCTTATAAGATGCTCCCTTGCAACTGAAAAACTCAGGCAGAGATTTTCTCTTTAGAGAAAGAAAAAAAAAATCTAGTTTAATGTGTATTAACAGACAGATTCGGGGGGGGGAGGGGCGAGCACATGGCGCTAGATAGCTATACTGATTCACCATCTTAGATCTGTAGAACTGTTGGCCTCTCTGCCAGACACACAGTAGGTTGGAAGGTAGCTGTAATCTTGAAAGCTCTGGTGATCAGCTTCTTTTACTGAGCATGGTGGCTGCTTTGGAAATACTAATTTTTTTTTAAAAAATTATTTATTTATTTATTTACTTACTTACTTAGGGGTAAAAGTGCCCAAGTGCCGTGATGTGCATGTGTAGATCACAGGACATCTCACAGGAGTCAGGATGCAATCCAAAAGCGTGGGAATCTGAGACAGGAGTTCCATGAGCCCAGAGCCATCCTCGGCTTCTCAGTGAGGGCCTGTCTCAAAGACGACAAAACGAAACAAGAGCATCCAGAATGAGATGTAGGCCTGGGCGCTCTGCAGTCCTCTTAGTACCAAATCTTTTGGTAGAGGCTTGAACCCTAGGAAGATTTGGGGTGAAGTTTCAGTCAGTGGTATGGAAGGAGGTGATAGTGTTGGAAGCTTGACAGGGTTGGGAAGAGTGGGGGACTCTGCAGCTGTCTGAGGCCCCTCAAATCTGTCCTGTTTCAACAAGAAAAGGGCAGGTCTAACAGAGGAGTAGCTCCTATTGGGGAGATGTTGGGGGAGGGCACTGCACAGGGCGCCTCATCCTTTCTCACCCTCCTCCTGTATTCTCATGATCCCCTACGTTGGCCCAAAAGAGAGGTGAAGGGGCAGAAGCAGCATTCTCACTATATCATCAGAGAAGGTAGCCACGGTTCCAGGGTTCTCTGTGACATTGACAGTCACATAGCTTGTGTAGACAGGGAAGGGAAGGAACTAAAGAATCATGAGGCCTCATCCCCTGGCATTATAAGGTACTTGTCATCGGCCTGATCCTCCAGAGAGGAGGAGTGGGGATAAAGCAGCCTGTGGCTGGGCAGGGCCCTCGGCGGGTATGAAAAGGAGCGGCAGGCACCAGAGCACAGCTAATAGGTTGGATGTTGTTGAGGTTGTGGTGAAGTGAGACCTTGAGGTCAGAGATTTAAGCTAAGTAGCCAGGGCAACACAAGAGAGAGAATGGCTGGGCATGGCAGGGGCCAGCTGGGCGTAACACTGTGGGTGTGGAAGGATGCTGGTCTCTAGGATGGTAAGCAGGAAGAGTCTCAGCAGGAAAAGGGTGTTCAAGGGTTAGGAGGAAGACAGCTGAGCGCCTCGTGTCACATCTTCAGGTGGCAACTGAGGCTTCCCAGTGTTTATGTGTACTGTGTGTCAGGGCGTGCGGATGTCACAGAGTGCGCATGGGGTTTAAAGGACAACTCTGTGCAGTTGGTCTTACCCTTCCTCCTTTATGTGGGTTCTTGGTTGAACTTACATCATCAAGTTTGGGCCACAGGCACTTTCATCCTCCCAGTTGTCTTTACCAGCCTGGTTTCTGTTTTTAAAACTTTTAAGCTCCCTGGTGCACTATCATTTCCAGCTTGGAGCTGGGTTTTGCCCTGTGGGCATTTCCTCTCCAGACCTCAGGGTTGGAGAAGCAATGATACATCCATGGAGATAACCGCATGCAGAGTGCAGGCCAGAGATTCAAGAGTAACAGCTCCAAGTCCATTCAAAGGGCAGCATGTGTGAGGTAGGTGACACTCTCCTTGGGGGTGGGATATGCAAGGCAGGAAGGGGTCTCTTGATCCAAGGGGTCTGGGAGGGTTCTTCTCAGGAGATTCGTCAGAGGGCTCAGGAGAGAGAACATGCCAGTCAAAGGTGACAGAGAGTGTGCCCAGTCTGGGACTCCAGCGAGCATGTGCAGAGAGAGGACACCTCAGGACTCAGAGAAAGAGGTGGCAAATATGTCGGGGTGGCTCAAAACTGACTGTTACACACACACACACACACACACACACAGAGAGAGAGAGAGAGAGAGAGAGAGAGAGAGAGAGAGAGAGAAACAAATGGAATTAATCTTAACACATTTTCCTAGCCTAAACATAACACTTCAACATATAGTCAAGTCTTAAGATGCAACATGCTACCTCTTTTTTTTTTAGTATTTACTTTAAATTTATTAAAAGTTTATTTATTATTGTTATTATTGATGGTTATGTGTGCTGTGTCAGGGCATGAGCATATCACAGAGGGCACATGGGGTTTAAAGGACAACTCTGTGCAGTTGGTCTTACCCTTCCTCCTTTATGTGGGTTCTTGGTTGAACTGACATCATCAAGTTTGGGCCACAAGCACTTTCATCCTCCGAGTTGCCCTTACCAGCCTGGTTTCTGTTTTTAAAACTTTTAAGTGAATTGGAATGAAATGAAATTTGAAAATTTAGACAAATGTCGTTGTCAGAGCACACCTACCACCTCAGCACCTGGGGGAAGGATGCAGGAGGATGGATTGCTGGGAGGCTGAGAGCAGCTTGGGTGGTAGAGTTCAAGGCCAGCCTAAGATACATAGTAAAACTTTTCAAAACAAGAAGAAAACCTCAGCTTTCTCAGTTGTACTAGCCATGTCTCCAGTGGTTACTCATCCTAGTAGGCTAATGGCTACTGTATTGAACAACACTAAACATATAATAGATGCTCAATAAATGCTTACTGTCAGAATGGGTCACCTGTGCTCTTTGAGAGGCCTCCTAATTACTGAGGAGAGCAAATGGGGTCTCTGGCCTCTGTATTCACGGGGCCTCTGCTTAGCAGGTTGGGGCCTCCACAGAAAGCCCTACTTGAGTAGCTGGACTAAAGATAGGAAGAGCACCTTGGAATGTAGTGAGCTCCCCATCATCAGATGTATGGACAGCTCTGGACAAAAGAAGGGAAAAGACTCAGAGATGGTATCTGTTCTGGTCCCTGTGACTTTTGGAGGCTGTGACAGCTGAGGCAGCTGGTGCTTCCATGACATACAGAGTTTGAAGCAGTCTACATATTCATTTCCCCCTTTGCCACCTTGCCTGGCTCTGAATCTGCCTTTCATGGAACAGAACTGGGTAAAGGCCCTCACCCCTTGTTCACAGAGATGCCTTGGATTCTTGGGGTGGGCCTGGACCGAAAGGTTGGAGTGTGGAGAGGCAGCCTGGTCCCCTGGTCTCACCCATGACCTTTCATGGAGAAAGCTGTGGCAATGGTCCTGAGACCCTGCTGGACCGAAGGTTCAGTGGCTGAGGCGGGTGCCTCTGTCGCCCGAAAGTCCAGGGGAGCTGCTGACAGGCCAGACTTGGGAGGATCAGGCAGGGCTGTGAATAGCAGCCATGGGTGAAAGGGCAGCCCCTCTGCTGCTTCCTGGGACTTTGATCTCCAGTGAGGCCTTCTCCTGCCTTCTTCCGTTGGTCTCAAGGGCCCCCATTCAGATTCCCCCGACCTTCCCTCTCCGCCTCCCCTGAGTTTGAAAGGCCTTGAATATAGGAGGTCAGTGGACTGAGAATCCTTTTACCAGCTCA